CTTGTCCTGACTTTCACTAAAAATATACTGACAAAACGGGGAGGCAGGTTCAGCTCAGTGCCCACTGCTGCTGGAGCTCCGGGGTCCCCCACCACTGCTGCCCCACTTCGAAGTCCCCTGCTCCTCATGGCAGCTGAGCAGTTGTGGGGGATCCCACCCCCTGTGGCAGCAGGGAGCTCCAGTTCCGCATCACCTGCGGCAAGTGGGAGGTCTAGGGTCCCCCACTGCCCACCAGGGGCTGGGCTGCCGCAGGGTCCCCTCACCCTCCACAGTAGCTGAGAGCTCCAGGGGGATCCCCCCTCTTCCCACTGTGGCTGGGCAACTGCAGAGGGTCCCCCGCCACCAGCCACAGGGGAGCCAGTGACACTTGGTGGTGGAGACGGCCTTCCCCATCCATGCCACCACACCCCACGCTGCCCCCTTCCACAGCATCAAGAAGATAAGCAACACGGCCAAGCCCCTCGGGGAGCAGCCAGGTAGAGCCCAGCGGAAGCATCCAGGGGGTGGCCCTGTGGCCTTCCTCCCCCATCAGGCTACGGAGCTCCCAGCCCCCTGGTCAGTTCTAGGGTGGGGACTATTGAGGGATAGACCTAATTGGAGGGGAAAGGCCTCATATTCGTGATCTCCATGATATAATCATAGCCGTATCCATGAGCAAACTCCTACCCCAGAATATATTGGGCAGTGTCCTTTGCCTCAGTTTCTCCCCTTGTGCTGTGACTCACTCACTCATGCCCCTCACCCCAATCGGGGTATGGGCCGCCAACCACAGCTCTCCAGAGTCCTCTATCCTGGGCCATTTGCTCTAACTGGCTTTGCCCTTTCCTTCCCCTGCACCCCACTCACAGTTGCTGTCCTTGGTCGGCGAAGGCCCAGAGTTCAGAGCATTCATGTGAATTCAACTCCCGCCAGTGGGGTGGGAGCTGGGGAGATGGCATCAAGAAATGCCTCGGCCGCTGCTGCCACCACCATGTATACAACTGAGATCTGGTCTGACCTACAGACCTCTATCGGTATAACTACGTCCCTCAGTAAATCCACACACCCCCACCCTCTGTTCGACATAGTTATACCAACCCGACCCCATGTGTAGACACCGCTGTGTTGGCAGGAGAGCTTCTCCCATCGACACAGCTACCACCTCTTGGGGAGGTGGATTAACTACACCGATGGGAGAAGCTCTCTCCCGTCAGCTTAGAGCGTCTCCATTAAACCACAACAGAGGCACAGGGTGCAGTTGTGCCGATGCAGCGTGTTAAGCGTAGATGTGCTCTAAGGCTCAGTGTCTAGACCGGGTTCTCAGTGATTTCAGCTCTAGCGATCACTTAACAAAACAAGGACTCTCCAATGTGTCTGATCAGCTCTGCCTTTACACAGTGGCGAGGGAGAGGATGAAATGGCATCTAGGACTCTTTAGGCAGAGCCCACACGCCTGGATACAGACATCTGCCCCCACCCTCTTTCTCTCTCACTCTCACGGGGATTTGGCATCCCCACCCCCCTGCTTAGCGAGTGAGCGTCAATCAGGGCAGGCTAAACACAGTTCTGCTGCCCTTTCCTCACACAAAGGGTTACAACATGCCATTCCCCTGCACTCCCTATTAAACTGATTTGTAACCCAACACCCGCCAAAAGGGATCACTTTGGCAAAGCAGTTCCCTCCACGGAAATCCTAGGCACAGTAGGTGCTTCTGGAAACACAGGCTGTTGCTGAATTTGTTCCCCCAGCTCATCTCTCCATGTCAGAGGGGAGCTCAGTCCGAATCCACCTACACAGCAATGAAGAACGTGGAGGGGAAGTGGAGCCTTGCATGTCAGAAACACCTCCCTGCTGCCGCCCAGCTCCAGACACTGCAGCCTTCGCATGGGAGAGGAAGCTTGTGGTTCATTACAAACAGCTGATTTCTGATCCTCAAGGTGGGGGAAGGGAGCAGGCTGTGTCTTTCCTGGGTGTGGGAACCCTGTTAGAACCACCCCCAGCAGCTGAAATATTCCACAGAAAAATCAGGCGTAACCCCATTGAATTCAGTAGAGTTACTCCTGCCG